CGCCGCGCCCAGCAGGCCTGTGAGGTGGTGGTGGAGGGCACCTGAGAGTGACAAGGTTGTGGCTTCTCGGCTCCCCACAGAAATGGGTCCCTCTGCCTCCCCCAGGAACGGCTGCAGAACCTCTGGGGGGTGTACGAGCGCCTGGGCCTCGAGGACGACATCGTGGATCCCTCCAACCAGCTCATCAAGGAGGGGCCCATCCAGAAAGTCTCCACCCGCAACAACAGCACGTCGGAGAAGTACCTGTTCCTGGTGGGACTGGGGTGCCCAGGGGAAGGGACAGGGAAGGGATAAGATGGGAACGGGGAGAGGGGCAGCACAGCCTGGCCGGGGTCTTCCTGAGTCAACTCTGCACAGGAGGGGTGAATTCAGAGCTGGGGGTTGGACCCTCCCCAGTGCAGGGCACCCTGTGTTGGGTGTTGTTGGGAATTTCCTGATCCCCTGAGCACAGCAGCCCTCGAGGGCTGCCACACTCCCAGAGTCCCTCACCTCTGCAGGGTGGGAGAGGACTGGAGTAGAAACATAGAACTGTTTAGGCTGGGAAAGCTCTTTAAGATCATGGAGTCCAACCCTTCCCCCAGCACTGCCAGGTCCCCACTGCCCCGTGTCCCTCACCCCACATCTCCACGGCTTGGAAACCCCTCCAGGGGTGGGGACTCCACCACTGCCCTGGGCAGCCTGGCACAGCCCGGGGCAACCCTCCAGGGCAAGAAATTGTTCCTCAGGGACAACTGAAACCTCCCCTGGGGCAACCTGAGGCTGTTTCCTCTTGTCCTGTCCCTTGTTCCTTGGGAGCAGAGCCCGACCCCCCCCTGGCTCCAGGCTCCTGTCAGGAGCTGTGCAGAGCCAGAAGGTCTCCCCTGAGCCTCCTTTGCTCCAGGCTCAGCACCCCCAGCTCCCTCAGCTGCTCCTCCCCACACTTGGGCTCTAGACCCTCCCCCAGCAGCTTCATTGCCCTTCTCTGGCCACGCTCCAGCCCCTCAGTGTCCCTGGAGTGAGGGACCCAAAAGTGAACCCAGGATTCAAGGTGCAGCCTCACCAGTGCCAAGCACAGAGTTACTCAGTTACTTTTTATCTTGGATTCTTCTGAAGAACCAGCTCAGCCCCAGGGGGTGAAGGACCCTGGATTCCAGAGAAGCCCCCAGCTCTGAGTAGGAAGGTGCTGAGCTCCAACCAACCCTCTTCCTCCCTCTTCCCAGTTCAACAACATGCTGCTCTACTGCGTGCCCAAGGTTATCCAGGTGGGCGCCGAGTTCCAGGTCCACCTCCGCATCGACGTGGATGGCATGAAGGTCACTAGAGCACCTTGCCTTTGTACTTCCCCCAGAACCTGGCTTCTCCAAAATACCCCCTGCCCTGGGCTGTAATGTGGGTCCTGCCTCACACTTCCATGGGGAGGAGGGAGGAGATGGAGCCAGGGGGGCTTTGTGGGCGAGGGGGACTCACTGACACACTCTGATCCTGGGAAACAGCAGTGAAACCTTGTGTGTGTAGGGTTTGAGGGGCTGAAGGGCCTGTGCCCCAGGGAGCCCCTGACCCCCACACCATGGAGGAAGGTCCCTGCGTGCTGGAGGGGGGTTGAGCCGCCCCACATCCCTCCTTTGGTGTCTCTCAGGTGCGGGAGCTGAAGGACTCGCAGTGTCCTCACACCTTCCTGGTGTCGGGAAAGCAGCGGACGCTGGAGCTGCAGGCCAGGTGAGGGGAAGGGTGAGGGTCCTGCAGACCCTCCGTGGGGAGGAACGATGCCTTTATCCATCTCCCTTCTGGTACCCAGGTCTGAGGAGGAGATGAACGCCTGGATCGAGGTACCTCGGAGTGCTGGGAGAGGCGGCACATCTCGCTCAGCCCAGGGGGCCCTGGGTCAGGGACAGCCCCCTGCCCACCCCTCCAGCCCTGCCTTCCCCTCTAGGCCTTCCAAGATGCCATTGCCAGGAAGGAGAAGAGGAGTGAGACCTTTAAGACCGCGGTGCATGGGCTGGAGGTGGACACCCCTGTGCTGAAGGTGACCCTCCTGCCCTCCCCAGCCTTGAACCAGAACCGGGGGGAGGCTGCGGATGGGGAAAAGGGAGAACAGAGGGGCTGGGCCCACCCGGGCCACCTAGCCAGCCCCAGTGCTGCCCTCTCCTGCCCCAGACGGAGGAGCTGGGCCGCCGAGCTCCGCAGTGGGTGCGGGACAACCTGGTGAGCATGTGCATGCGCTGCCGGGAGCCCTTCAGCACCATCGTGCGGCGGAGGCACCACTGCCGGGCCTGCGGATACGTGAGTCGCCCCGGGACCCCCACCAGAGCACCCCTCCCTACGCCTTCCACCCCTTCCCCCGTGCTCGGGGCTCTGCCTGCCCCTCAGCCCCCCCGGGCCCTGGCTGTAGGTGGTGTGTGCTCGCTGCTCCAGCTACAGGGCTGAGCTGCAGTACGACGGGAACCGCCCGAGCCGCGTCTGCCTGCACTGCTACAGCCTCCTCACCGGCCACGTCCTGCCCCAGGACAGGGAGGGGAAGCCCAAAGGCATCCTGGAGGTGAGCTCTGCCACTCCCTGCCTGGCCTAGAGACAGAGTCATGTTCATTGGAAGAGGCCTTTAAATCATCTGGTCCATTAGTCCAGCACAGCCAGGGCAGCACTGAACCACCTCCCTCAGCACCACATCTCCACAGCTTGGAAACCCCTCCAGGGGTGGGGACTCCACCACTGCCCTGGGCAGCCTGGCACAGCCCTGGGCAACCCTCCAGGGCAAGAAATTGTTCCTCAGGGACAACTGAAACCTCCCCTGGGGCAGCCTGAGGCCCTTTCCTCTTGTCCTGTCCCTTGTTCCTTGGGAGCAGAGCCCGACCCCCCCCTGGCTCCAGGCTCCTGTCAGGAGCTGTGCAGAGCCAGAAGGTCTCCCCTGAGCCTCCTTTGCTCCAGGCTCAGCACCCCCAGCTCCCTCAGCTGCT